TGCTAAATCAAGCTCATTAGATGGTGAGCATGTGTGGCACGCAAATCTTGTCCTGTCACTTTCCTGACTAAAATCCCTCAAGTGTCTTCTGATTCATTGACTAAAGAAAAAGTGTCCTAAAGGTGGTTTGCGAGGCCCTTGACCGTGGGGCCCAGACTGCATCTCAAAGCCTCCCTTCTCGCTGCATTCCCCAAAGCCCCTGTTTGCTCTTCCTTTCCCCGTGTGCTGAGCTCTCTCGGGGCTTCTCCGGGATGGGCCCTGGTGCTTGCTGTTTCTTCTGGATGCTTCCTCTGCCTCCTGCCACCCTCCCACCCCACCACCCTCCCCTCCTCTTTTGATTTTTCAAGTTTCCGTTTAAAGTCATATCATCAGGGAGGCTCCCGTGACTGCGTGCCCTAAATAAAAGTCTCTTACTCCCTCGGCTTCTGTACTTCCTCTTTCATAATATTTACCACTCTTGTTTAGTGTCTTCTCCTGCAACCTGTAAATTCCAAAAAGAGAGGCTGGGGTCTTCTCTGTTCAGTGCTGTATTCCCAGTGCCTGACATAGAGTCTGCCACACGTGCAAGAAATAGTTATTGAATGGACCACTCGCCAAGCTTTCCTGGTTCCAACTGGGGCTGAAACTAGGGCCTTTGTGCTGAAAATGAAATAGCACCCCACACTTTATCTACTAGCTGTGCCCAGCATCCAGGGAATAGGCTGTGTGTCTCCCCTCTGCCTCCAAATAGATCTTCCGTGTTTCGAGGTGACAAACTATTCCCAGAACACAGAGCAGTGTGTGCCGCACGCTATTTCCAGACCTCTAGGTTTTGCTTTTCTTTCCTGCACAGATGTTCTCTTGGGGGTGGGGGTGCTATCCTCCCCTAGGCACCAAGAAGGATCCTTATAGTTCTGTTCTTCCAGTGCCTTCCGACTCACAATGCTATAGTGGCACATGCCTCTGGCATATTAATGACAGTTCATGGCAGTGGGGAGTGGCTGGTTATTCCCAATTAAATGTAGCCATGCACTGATGTGGGTAATTTAGAAACCAAGATTAGTTCTCGGCCTAGTCCCCATCCTGCTCCCCTTTCTCTAACATTCCCCAGAATGTGCCGCCAAGCCACCAACTCTTGCCATCAAAGAGAATAGGTACTCTGAGTATACAAATTCATTACATTAGTAACTCAAACTAAATATGGCCAGAGGAAACTCTCATGGGAAAAGCAGCGTGTGTCAACTTCCACTAGACTTCACACACTAGACTCAGTCTCAAGGTCACCAGGAAGTCATGTAATCAGATGAGATGTGGAAGTAGAAGGTGAGACCCTCCTCCAAGTGCCCACATGGGCCTGTGGCTATCAGGGCCACTTAGTCACTCCCCGCCAGAGGAGTCTGGGAGATGGATTTTAAGATCTCCGTAAGCCACTTTTGAAGCCTATAAAGAGCTAATGAAACAGAGCGATGAAGCAGGCCACATTTGCCCAGGGCTTTTGGAACACTCTGCACATGTGTCACTCAAAGTGCTTCGTCCAGACTCTGGGCCAAAGCCTGCAGCCCCGAGGCCTGGCTGCACAGGCCTCAGCCCTGGCACACAGCTGCACTTCCGGATGATGGAACTTGAACAATAGCAGGGCAGAGTGTCGACTGAATTGGCAGTTACCATGGAATTCCCATTGTGCTTTGCAGTTCCCCAACAGGTTTCATAGCTGTCCTTTTCATTCTGAGTTATCTCCCTTTTGGCAAATGACAATAGTCTCAGAAGCATCCAGTGACTTGCCCAAAGTCGCATTGTTAGTAAGCAGCAGTGCTGGGATTTGACTAGGTCCTTTGGCTCCAAAACTCACATGTGGTGGAGCTGTCCAGTGGCTGACTGCTCCCATTGGAAATAGCATAGCAGGGGCCTGGGTCTAGTGAGCCATCAGGCTAGGAGTTTTCTCTGTTCAGTCTGCTTTGGCTGCCCTTGAAGCTTAGGCATTTGCTAATGCTCAGTCAAGTCCCTTTGACACTTGTGTTGTGAGAGATGACCTATTGCCATTTAAAAGGGTCCTAGTTTTCCTGGAACGCTGTCATTCTGAAAATGACAGGTAGGGCCTTCCCGTGGACTAGTAGGACATTCAAGCATGTTCTCTTCCTGTTGTAGGGCTTAGTGATGGGACACACTGAGGACAACACACTTCACCACCCCCTGACAGAGGTCATGTTGCAAAGCTGGGCCAAGAACACAGGCAGGGATGGACAGAGGTGGAGCCAGTGATACAGGAGGTAGAGAGACCTCATTTCTCAGGACTCAGACAAAAGCAGGCCCAGCCTACCTGGAGACTACCAACCAGTGAGTTCCAGGCAGGCAGGGTGATGTCCACTGACTCTACTATATTGCTGCTGCCTAGTTGTGCTCCTGGGCCTATGAAGTACCCACTCATGGTTTTCCAATCACTGGTGATGTTGTGTCTAGTTTCCAATGGGATAGGGACACTCGAGGCTCCAGATCCGGAGCCAGAATATCCAGGTGGTTAGACAGGGACCGCAGAGCTTAGGATGCCAGGCTTACCCTGGGAGTTGCCAGACAACAGCCCAAGGGGTGGGTATAACATGCAACAGCCCAAGAGTCTCCATGGAGAGGGTGCCCACGGGAAGGGCTCACTCAGAAACAAGATGTCCAAGGAGGTGATATGCAAGACTGCATGCAGACAGCAGGGATCCCAGAAAATGTTTCTTCAGGAAGAGGGCCCCAGAAGCCAGGCTGGAGACCCTCGGCATAGTAGGGAAGAGTAAGACAGCACTCTCACACTATATGGGACATGGATGGATGTGGCTTAAGATAAGAGTCGACAACAGGGTAGACACCCAGTGATCATAACTGCCACTGGGCCAGGGACAGACTCCAGACAAGGAGAACTGGATGGGATGGGCTGAGATGTCTGCTTAATTTCATGATGCTACTGAGGTCTGGGGCCATGCTGAGCCTATAAGTGGGGTGCTAGGTATAGTGCCAAGAAGAGAGGAAGTCTTCAGAGACAGGGAGCCAGGGAGGGCCTGGCTAATGTCTTCTTTCTGCCCATAGAGTTTATGGACGCTTGTGGCTAAGAGAAAATGTCTCCATGGGAAGGCTTTTTTGAGAGGCAAGAAAATTTGGTATCTCCTGAGGAGCCCAGATAGAAGAAGCTGGAACCTGCCAATCCTGGGGGTCTCTTAGGCACACTCCACAGGAGTTGAGCTAGCACTGGGGTCGACTGTTGCCCTGTCACTGGCCAACTGCACCCCACTCTGTTCAGGCCAGTGTCCATCCATAGCCCTTTTAATCTATCAGGGGACAGAGATCATACCTGCAAGGGACTTCAGCACGGAGTGGCCGTGTACACTCACGGCTGCACGTATGCAAAGAATGGATTGGGAATGGGAGGGTGAGCTTCCCAGAGCAGGAGAGGAATGACAGGAAAGAAAGTCTCTAACAGGTTTTATATAGTCCTGAAAGGAAAAAAAAAGGCAAGAAGTCAAGGAAAAAATAGTTTTCAGCAGTGAAGTCACACCGACACCTCCTATCATACAAGGACTCCATTCAGAGCCTGCTTGAAGCAGATATTGCCTATTTTCCACTGAATCAGAGGGAAATTACCGTTCCCAGTGGAGCATTCCCCGACCAGGAGGGAGGAGGTGCGGGATGATTGTTCCTCATGCCTCCCAGGCTTCCCTCTGCAACCTAAGAGCCAAGAAGAGCCGGTGGCAGGCAGGGCAGGGGCTGGGCAGCTCCAGAAGACCAGGGCAGGCCCCTGGGAACCCTCCTCTCTTCTGATGGCTTGGAGGGGCAGAAGGCTTCCCCAGCCCCTTCCCTGGACCCTGGGGTGTCAGGGATCCCTGTGAGCACCAAATGCCTGGAGCTCCCAGAAGGTCATCACCTCACTGCTCCCTGGGCTCCCAGCAATGTGGGACTTCACCTACTTACTGGGGGTGGAGCCCTCCACTAGGCTAGATGTGCTCCCTGCCACGGGCTCCCAACTACTCCCACCATAGAAACTCATACAAGAGTTCCCCTCAAATGCCTCCAAGGGGACCCACCCCAATGTCCTTCTTTAATCCTCTTTCCTCTTCCAAAACATTTAATCTAATCCCCTCTGAAGTTTCTCCAGCTTTCTTATCTGACACAAGTACACAGAAAGCATTAAATAATGCTTTTTACCTGTGTTTTTCTCCAGGTACAGAAAGTCTGACCCTCAGGGCCTGAGGTTCCAAAGAATCAGAGCAGAGAAGGGGAGGGCACGTTGACGTGGGGCTTGAGGTCTTGGTCCCCCTTGCCTCAGGTACTGATGCCTGGGGTAACACCTCTGTGTCAAAGTCCTTGGGCTTTGGAGAAGTTGACAAAGTACACAGACACCAGAGGGATATGGAGGCAAAGGGGCTACTGCTGCTGGATCTAGTGACCACCAGCCAGAGCCCCTGCTGTGGCCCATACTGCCCAGCCATGCATAGCCAGCCCCAAGCCACCCTCTGACTCCTCCTCCTTCCTGGCCCCATCGGCTCCACCCACCTCTTCTAAATGGCCCCTCATCCTTCCTAGCACCCAGGACATACCTCTTCTAGGGAATGTGAAATAGATGGTCTTGGAAATTAAGAGTAATCTAAGAGCAAACCAAAACAAAACACTCACCAAGTTGGTCAAGGTATGTTGTATTTCCATCCTACTGAGGCAGTTACCATGCTCCGATTAAGGCTAAACATTTTCCTGACTGGTCTCCAGACTACGTGTAGCTCCCAGGCTATGCATGGTCTCCCATTCTGCTAACTCTTGTCCCTCACCCCAGCTCCATGACCCCTAAGGGCAGCACCTCTGTGAGTCTGCAGCAGAGATGCTCTCAGAGCCGCCCTGACTTCCCTGCAGCTTCTACCAAGGCGCTTGCCTCCAGGGAGCAAGGGTGAACGCAAGCAGGGGCTGGCCCCGTGAGTTTCTGTCCAGGTGTGGCCTCGGACTTCCACCCCCAGCCCTCCCACTTCAGAACACCAGGAAGGAAGACATCCCGTCGCTTTGTTCTCATGTGTGTTTATTGAGTGCCCACGGAGTCTGTGGTGCTGTGCTCAGGTTTCAGAGCCACGGTCTAGTCAAAAGAAGACCAGAGCTAGTACAGAGGATGCTTCATAGCTGCTTAACATCTGGTAAGGGAGGGGGAAGGGGCGAACTAATCACAAACAGATTCCTATTCGAAAGCAACAGAATCTCCTCTGAGAGTAATATGTATTCTACGCACACACGCACGCGCACACACGCACGCGCGCACACGCACGCACCCCTCTGAGTGAACACGCAGGTGCACCCACTCGGTTGTATATGCATGCATATACAGGCGTTTGTGAGTGAATAAACTAATATCTATGCTGCCCGCACGCACACGCACGCACACACCACTGCACAGACAGGTAATCTGGCTTATGCTATCAAAGACACTATGTCTCCAGGTTCTAGTGGAAGCGATCTGTCCTAGACGCCTGCAGCATGCAAAACTTGGAAGATCCAGAGAGTCACAGTTAGGGAGGACGACGGGGAGACACGGGTGCTTTTCCATCCTCGGGGTCCCAGCCACAGCTCGCAAGGTTGCTCTTTGTTGGCGACAACAAAGCCTTCGTGAAGGGCTCCCAGGGGCAGCGGAGTAGCTGGAGGCCCTCTGTCCAGTGGCGGGGCCTATGGGGGCCCTGGCGAGTCCACCAATCTTCAAGGCAGAGTCGGAAACTCTAGTTTTCAAGTGTGTAGTCCTACAAACGGTATTCTTTGGGACGGCGCGGCAGATCGAGGTGAGAGTTCCTTTTCTCGCTCGCTCTCTGCAGCTTCCCACGTGTGCTAACGCATTTTGTAGTCATTAGATACAGATGTTTCACACAGCTGTCCCTTAAAATCCAAGTCTACTGTGAAATCGAGGTCCCGCTGCAGAGAGGGGTTGGAGGACATGGGCATTAGTCTGGGGAGGTGGCTGCAGCCCCATCCTCCTGGCGCCACAGGGGACGGCTTGATCAAGGTCTTCTAGCAAAGGGGCTCCCGTCAACAGCCCTCAGGAGCCTATTCTGCTTCTTCCTTAATGTCCCAGAAAGTTTTTTGATTTCTAACCTAAATCCTACCTGTTCTAATGTTCCCTCTGCTTTCACCCTGGGAGAAAATAGAGCAAGGTGGTTCAACCCCCTCAAAGCACTCTGCAGACTCAGAGCACCTGTGACCCCACTTGGGGCTGCTAAGAACCAGACGGTCTCCACCTCACCAGGCCAGCCAGAGAAGTGCCTGCCTCATGTGACCCAGGCTGCCAGTTACCCAGGGTAGAACCCATTTCCTCAACAGCCTCTGTATTCAAAGCCCCTCACAGGAGGAGCTCTCTGAGAGCCCAGAGGGGAACCGGAGAAGTCTCTGCTTGTTGAGCTTTGGGGGGCCCACAGCTGAAGCCCTTCAATTATGCCTAGTCACATGTAGGAACTTGGGTGAGTGGGCGCCTGGGCTCCCTAGCAGCTGCACCATGGGTCCCATCTCTGTGATCCTAGCTACATGGACTCAGCCTCAGCACTCACCACGTTTTTGGCATTTGGCTTCATGGATATGGTCCCGTAGATTTCTTCCCCCCTCCGGACAGTGAGGTAGTCTTCCAAGTAGAAGACAGTCTGCTTCCAGTGGGTGTAGGGGGCATCAGGGGCTGAGGGTACAGAGCAGGAGAGGGAGAAGAGGAGTCAGAAAGGATGTCTCCAAAAGGCAGAGGCCGGGACTCTGCGTAGGCCTCTCTGCACCCACCCACCCCAACACTTTTATGGGTCAGATGCCCAGTCCTTGTAGCTTGACCCCCAGACCTCCAGCTCAACCCCAAGCACCCCTCCTCCCATCATGTCCCTGTGCCCTCTTCACTGACTGCTGACCTTCCCTGGGGAGCCGAAGGAGAAGAGCTGATATTAAAACTTCATACCAAGAGATGGATGGTGAATGCTCTCCCACCACTAGCACAAATGGGTTGCAGAATACGACTGTCTAACATCAGTTCAACAGAGTGAAGACTTGTAGGCAGTGTGGGGGAGAGATTTGTAGAGTGGGTCCTCTTATCTCCCCTTGAATGTCCTCATTTATGCAAAGTCCACAGCTAAACCAGTCTCCACAGTTCACTGGTACTGCAGGTACTCCTGAATCCTGCAAATCGTTCCCCCTGCCTGCTTCTCTGTGCCAGGGAACTGACCTTAGCACCTCAGCCCAGGCCTGCTAGGGGGTTTCAGCTGTGCCTTCCTAACTAGACCTGGAAGAAATGAGGGATGCTCTTGTTCTGCAGCCCCCAATGCTGGCCCACCCCTCGCATGTCCTGAGTGAGCCAAAGCCACAGTGATGCTGTGTCTCCCCGGTCTTTGCCACTGAATCCTTTCCTTTCCCTCTAGCCCGTGACATGCTCCCTGGCTGAATGAGGGGTCCTGCCTTACGAGCTGTCATCCTCCCCAGCTCCTCATCTTCTGAGAAGCCTCACCAGACCACCCAACCTGGACTGAGGGCTCCCGCAGACCCTGAGCTCCTGCTGCCGTGGTGTGTATCACACCACAATTTAAATAATTGCCCTCCCCTCGCCTGCTTGTGTCCTCCTCAAGACTGCAATCTCTGGGAGGGCAGGACCATGCCAGCCTTGCACTGGCCCAGCCCCAGTGCCCACCACTGCATTTGGTAGATCTGTAAAATTATGTTGAATGCATAAATGACAGTGAGAACTCAAAGAGCAGGTATATGGGTAACGTACCCATAGACATCCAATCATTGGGCCTTTGGGATGTATAGATCTTGCAGAAGAATTCATTTTTATATTTTACAGTAAGTTCCTCTTGGATCAAGCTCTTGCCTGCCTCCACTTGGATTTCCTCTGTCTCAGGACCAGTGCTAGAGATGGGAAGACTTGAGGAGAAGATGATAGGGATCTTTCAAACATTGTCACAGGGAAAGGCTTTATACTATATATGTGAACTTATATATGGCTTTAGGGGTACAAAGGTTGTTACCAGAGATTACTAGAAGGCAGATTTTTAATTCACCAGGAAGAATAAAAGCTTCCCTGAAATTGTATGAGCCTCCTGAGGTCCACCTTTGCAGGTATTCCCACACCACTGATGGAAGGTTGTCACGCGCCAGCTCTAGAGACCACGTGGTCTCTAAGATCTTTCAAAACCCCAAGATCTATTTTAATAGTGGTGAGGAGTCTGTCTTTCTCTGCCCTTTGCAGTGAATTAGACTGATCAAATATCAGTGGTTTGGGCAGAGACTCAAGTAGCCTTCAGTGTGTGCATTTGGGAAATCAATGCAAACTCAAGGTCATGGGGAGAAGGGGATCATGAATGTGCAATCTCTGCTACTCAGACTCTGGGTCCCTAAACACATCCAGCCTTCCTGGCCTCCCAGGCAGGCAGCTGTCTGCAGACAAAGTCCACCTGCTCCCAGTGCCTTCCCTGCCAACTACCTCTAAATAAATTGTCAAAAGATAGTTTCTGGTTGTGTGTGGAGAACGTCAGTGGATGACTGACATCACTCTCGCCTCCACGGCCACCTACACCAGCACAGACAAGTATCTCTCCTTTCCTGAAGACCTTCAGGCGAGTGGATCCAAGCAGCCTTGCTCTGTCATCTAATCAAGTGCTCTGTGAGACTCCTAGAATGCTTCACCAGTTCAAATTTGTTGGCCATGAAGCCTGGGATTCTGTTCTGAGTTGGAAGAAAATGACTTTTTTCCTGGATATCAACAACAAAATGTTAAGAACTTCTGCAAACATCCCATTTCCATGACGGGTGCATTAGCCATGGACTAATTGTTTCCTCAATCCTACTCCACTGAGAAGTATTTATCATAATCCAGTGTTTTGACTCTACTCTAAGAGATATGAATTCAGTATTTCTGGAGGGTGGGGAGTGGGCAGGTCTGCCAAGACTTAAAGTTTATCCCAGCAGCCCTGGGTACAGTGGCTCACGCCTATAATCCTAATACTCTGGGAGGCTGAGGCAAGAGGATTTCTTGAGCTTAGGAGTTCGAGACCAGCCTGAACAAGAGTGAGACCCTATCTTTACTAAAAATAGAAAAATTAGACTCGGCGCCTGTGGCTCAAGCGGCTAAGGCGCCAGCCACATACACCTAAGGTGGTGGGTTTGAATCCCCAGCCTGGGCCCGCCAAACAACAATGATGGCTGCAACCAAAGAATGGCCAGGCGTTGTGGTGGGCACCTGTGGTCCCAGCTACTTGGGAGGCTGAGGCAGGAGAATCGCTTGAGCCCAGGAGTTGGAGGTTGCTGTGAGCATGATGCCATGGCACTCTACCCAGGGGGATAGCTTGAGGCTCCGTCTCAAAAAAAAAAAAAAGAAAAAGAAAAAGAAAAATTAGCCAGGGGTTGTGGCAAGCACCTGTAGTCCTAGCTACTTGGGAGGCGGAGGCAGGAGGATTGCTTGAGCCCAAGAGTTTGAGGCTGCTGTGAGTTATGATACCACGGCACTCTTCCCAGAGCAAAAAAGTAAGACTGTGTCTCAAAAGATAAAAAAATAAAAATAAGTAGATAACTAAGCAGCCAGCGGTCCAGTGTCCACTCTCTACTTGTGCTGTGACCTGGGCTCACTTTCTACCTCTGTAGTGTAAGGTCCTGAGGTATTATCTCCTGAGGTGTTTTGAGGATGAGATGAGATGAAGGGTGGGCATCATATATGGAGTGACCAATTCTCTGATGTGCTCAGGACTGTTCCAGTTCACATCTGTTTTTCTGTCATAATTATCAATAGCTCTTCCCTTCACTCACAGAAGTGTCCTTAATGGAAAGATAAACGATGTGGTCGCCCCGCCTATAACACATTAGGCCCATGTTAGGGTATTGCTAAACCATTGCATCAGGAAGTTCTTTAATCATTATATCAAGTGCTGTATGGTTTTATTTATCCCTAAACTATGACTCTGGCCTGCAAAGGTGCTCTAGTAGTCTAGAATGTCCTGGGGAAGCTTCCAGAATGTTGCTGTGTCCAAAGGTGTATGCTCAACAAAAGGCTGTGGACAGCATCCAGAGGACTCCTTATCCATGAACAAAGCTTTCCCTTCCCCGGCCCCGTATAACCCGCAGGATTGTACAAATGGCTCTCAGCTCTCCCTGTCGTGAAGACGCCTCCCTGCTCTTACCACACCTGCCTCCCTCCTCAAGCATGCTCCATCCATCACAATGCTGCTGGGCTCTAGATTACAGTCAGCTTTTGTTCCATGTGTTTGAAGTGAGCACAATCAGTACCACCCACAGCATTCCAAGTGCAAGTACATTCATTCACTCATTCATTCATTCAACAGACTTCTATTTAGAATGCCTGTTGTGTTCAGAGATAAGCATAGCTCGTGCCCCCTGCCCAGATTCTACAGCCTCAGTGAGGAGACACACAGGTAAATAGTGACAGAGCATGGTGCAAGCCGCAACCAAGGATGGGGCTGGGGGCCACAGGGAGCTGTGGGAACAGATGACAGGGGCCTCTCACGGGAACATTTTTCCTGGTGCTTTCAGAAAGGGAATGGAATCCTGCTCCCTCTTTCATTCCCCAAAGGCTAAGTGGCTGGTATTTCTTTCTGAGTTATAATAATTTTTCTGGCTGAAAATTTGGAATTATATTCCCTAGGGGGTTCACAAGCTTTTTGGAGAATTGAAGACTATGCACCAAGAAGTTTCTTTGACCTGAGAAAATGACTCAACGTCCCATGATGTCAAAGCCAGAGAAGGGCTGCCTAAGCCCAAAGGCCCAGAAAGTAACTGGCTCAAGGTCATCTCTAAAGTCTGGTCACATGACTTGCAATGCCTGGAAACACTGAGACTTACACCCAGACCTGCTTCTACTGGGGTGCCTGCCCTTCCACTCATTCACCAGCTTTCCTGCATTAAACAGGAAGCCCAGTTCCCTGTCACCCCATCTCCATCTGCATGCAGAGTCAGGGAAGAGCTGCAGGGAAGAGGGAAGCTGTCAGCCAGAAGGCACAGAGTCTAGATGAGAGCAGAGGGCACAGTCCATGAGGAAACGGAATTGCCTTTCCAGAAAGAAGTCAGCATTGGTCAAATTCTCGACCCTCTGGCTCTGGGCAGGAGTTCTCAAACTTCAGCGTGCCTCACGGTAACCTGGAATTTTGTTGCGACACTGAGTGCTGGCCAGGAGTAGTGGCTTATGCCTGTAGTCCTAGCACTCTGGGAGGCTGAGGAGGGAGGATCCCTTGCACTCAGGAGTTTGAGATCACCCTGAGCAAGAGACAGACCCCATCTCTACTACATACAGAAAAACTAGCCAGCTGTTGTGGCAGGCACCTGTAGTCCCAGCTATTTGGAAAGCTAAGGCAGGGGGATGGCTTGAGCCTAAGAGTTTAAAGTTGCTGTGAGCTTTGATGCCACAACACTTTACCCAGGGTGACAAAATGAGACTCTATCTCAAAAAAAAAAAAAGAAGACTAGCTGGGTATGGTGGCAGGCACCTGCAGTCCCAGCTACTTGGGAAGCTAAAGCAGGAACACTTCAGCCCAAGAGTTTGAGGTTGCTGTGAGCTATGATGACACCATGGTACTTTATCCAGGGTGACAGAGTGAGTTTCTGTCTCCAAAACCCACAAAAACACCACATAAGGTAGGGGTATACGGTATACCTTTTGGGTAGGGGATACAACTATAAGAGGTACTCTACTTAACAAATTCACATATTGTGACCTAGTTGTTTGTATCCTCACATTAACCTGAAATTTAAAAAAAAAACAAAACCTGACACCAAGTGCTGGGGCCCAGCCCCAGGGTTTCTGATTCAGAAGGTCTGGGGTGAGGCCTGAGAATCCAAGCTAACAAGCTTCAGGTGATGCAGGGGCTGCAGGGCCTCCCAGTGTCCTTTCAGAACCTAAGTTTGTGAATCCTGTGCACATAACACAAGCCTGCAAAAAATGCAGGGGGGCAGGCTCACACCTGGACTTGGTGTGAGCTGTGTGGGACTGTGTCACCGTGGGTGGGGGGCAGGGAGAGGGGGCGGGAGGAGATGGGGACCCAAGACCAGGAAGGAAACAAGCTCCACACTGGGTTAGAGTTGCCAACGCTTGCTCCTCCCATCTTTCAGGAAGCCCAGAGCCCACATTCTGATTATGGAATCAGAATCCTCCACTTGGGCCGTCAAGAACACCATCCCTGCCACCACAGAGCCAGGGGCCATCTATAAACAGGGTTTCTTCAGGCCATCTACTTAGCTTTGAGGACTGGAAATAGAGCATCTCAAAGAAGAGAAAACCCTAGCTGAGAACTCTGAGAAACCCAGAATTTTCTCCGGAGCACCATTGCCCATGGCAGCAGGGCAGGCCCTGGGTTGGACACCATCACCAAGCTCCATCTCCAGCTTCTAATTGAGCAGGCCCCTGCTCAGCTCCCTTGCTATCCCCACTCTCATCATTGCTAGTCTGGGTCTTACCCATCCTTCAAGGTCAAAGTGAAATCCTCTCCCTTCCCCTCCTGGCTGCTCCTGCCCATGGGATGATGACCTCACCTATGGCCCCTCTTAGGAGAGTAGCAGCTGATAACAACCCAGATCATAGTTCTAAGTTTTGCCCAGTGTAGGGAGACACAAACCCTGGCCCAGCCAGTGGAGACCAGAAGACCCTGGTGTTCATAGTCAGGAGACACTGGCTCCAGAAAACACCTTTCTGTGAGAGATTAGATAAATCTCTTGCTCCCCTCTGCCCACAAGTAAAAAAAAAAGCATTGACATCATGACTTCAGGACGTGAATACTCCTACCACTGAATTCTGGCAAAGCTCACATCACACATGCCCATGCCATGCTCCCAGTGCCCAGGAAGACTTAGCACCAGCACGTTCCTGAGGGCAGGGGTCACATCATCATGGGCTTATCATACAGTGATTTCTTTAGAATTTCTGTTTAGGAAGCCAAGAATGTAAAGATTAATGAGATGTGATCCCTACTCAGAGAGGAGACTGATGATTGCAAAAAAGAGTAGCGACGCTGAACAAGTGACACCACACTCTGCATTGGACTCTCACATAGTTGTTTAAAAAAAGGAAATAGGTATCTCTGCAAGGCAATGGAAGTATCTCTAAGCCATGTTATTAAATAAAGGAAAGGTAGCACAGGGCGGTGTGGATAGTATGATCCAGCCTTTGCTTTTTTTGAAGGTGTAGTCTTGATATCGTACTACCGTTATATAAGATGCCACCGATGGGGGGAGCTGGGTAAAAGGTTCATGGAACTCTGTCTACTATTTTTGCAACTTCCTGTGAGTCTATAATTATTTCAAAATAAAAAGCCAAAAAGAAAAAAAGAGGTGTATGTAGATAGGTAGGTGCTTGTGCACCTACTGAAATTTTCTGGAAGGCTACAAAAGAAATCATTACTAATATTTATCTCTGAGGAGTGGAACTGGGATGGAGAGGGGCAGGGAGAAATTTCTCCTTGACTTTTTATACCCTTTTGTACTGATTTCTTCTTGTTATTGTGCATATATGTCACTTTAAATGTCACCGTGATAGACATGCACAGGAAGTGAGGGAGCCCTGAGAAGGAGACCTAACCTTGACCCAGAGGGGAAACAGAGGATCAGGTAATATCTGAGCTGAGAGATGACACCTGGCAGGTGAGGATATGGGGACAGGGTGGTTATCAGCTGAATTGGCACATGGAAGTCCCAATCTGCAGTACCTCAGACAGTGATTGCATTTGGAGATAGGGCCTTAAATGAGGGGATTCAGTTGAAATGAGGTCTATAAAGCAGGCCCCTCCCAACCTGACTGGTGTCCTTATAAGACGAGGACATTAGGACATACAGAGAGACACCAGGGGCACAATAGCACAGAGAAAAGATGGGTCCCAGTGAGAAAGTGGCCATCTACAAACCAAGGAGAGAGGTATCAGGAGAACCCAAACCCCTGATCTTGGACTCTGGCCTCCAGCACAGTGAGAAAATCAATTTCTGTTGCTAAGGTTCCAGGCCTGTGGCACTTTGTTCTGGCAGGCCTAGCAGATGATACTGGAGGAAAGGAGATGATGAGAGCCTCTGACAAAGGTCCCTCCTGCCCCATGGCACTTCCCCATTGACACAGGGTGTCTGCTATGTGTGGAGGCCCAGAGACTGAAGAAGCCTCACTGAGCTCAGGGCCCTGAAGGAGATTGGGGTAACCAGGCTGTGCGTTGGGTGGCAGCAACAGGATGGAGTAGGGAAGGCCCAGCCAGGAGGGCTGCTGAGGAACAAGGCTGGACAGGAGGAAGCATGGGCTGGTCCAGCTCACAGAGTCCCCATTTGCTGGCTCAGAACCTTGGGCTTAGCAAACACAGGCAATGAGGCACCTTGGGATGGAGCTGGGACGTGGGAATAGGCTGAGCTTTGGGGAACACTGGCAGGGATTTAATGAAGGAAGGATTGGGGTGGAAGCAAGGAACATAGAGACCAGATTTCAGTCCACTGAGGGGCGGACTGAGTCCTGTCCGGAGGCGTGCCAGTAGAGAGAGGGAAGACTTCCTCAACTATCCCTAAGGATAGACTAACTCTATCCTTAGCCCCCTTGCACCGAATGTGCTCAGGAAACTCAACTTGAACAAATATGCATTGAAGGGTCTGGGGTCCCTACCACCTATCTCTCCCTCACTGCCCCACATTGTCTCAGCTCACACTGCACCATCCACAGTTTAAGCCCAGAACCTTCTCCCCAAGTTGAGACCAGCCCCAGTCACTTCCCACAAAGCCTCCAGGAAGCACGGGAGTGGAGGCTCTGAGAGCCCAACTCACAGCTCACCTGTAGAAAACCCCATCTTCTTGTGGCACTTGGTAAATTCAATATTGAAGTAGGTGACCAGGGCGTGCACATAGTCATTGCGCTGTATCTGCAGGCAGAACGCAGATGTGAACGACAGCTCTTCCGTCTTCACTGTGTAAATGTCCACCTCCTGCAGCCCAGAGAAGAGAGAATGCTGGGGACTCAGCACCTCCACTGCCCTGGGGCCTGGGAGAGACTGGGGTGGGCAGACTCCCTGGGGGTATCATCATCACTCTCGGGGTGACCTCCCAGGCCTACCTACCACACTCCCGATTTCCTCTCCATCCTCTCTAGGGTGGAGTGTGCTCAGACACGGGCAAACAGATCTGAATCTAACCCAAAGGGGAACAGACCTAGGAAGGTAAATCTGCAGGGGCTGGAGCAAGTGGGGTAGGAGGGAAGAGATGAGGACGTGCTCCTTATCCCTCAGGGTGGTCCTCCTAAGCATGGCTGCCTTCATCTAGTGATTCTCACAGTGTGGTCCACAGACAACCAGCAGCATCGTCAGGAGGGGACTCGAATCAAACAACCATCTGTGTTTTATCAGGCCCTCCCAGGGCTTTGGATGAACCAGACTACTCATTTCATTTCAATAAAAAAAAAAATTTTTTTTTGACATTTCAGTTCCCAGCAATAGGAGGCATCAAGCATTAACTCAGGAGTAAGGACCTGAGGCCGCAAAGTCACAGACTGAGTTAGGGGCGTTCTGCTGGCCATTTGTAACAAGGCAGGACAGTTCGTAAAAATAAATAAAAGGGGAAAATAGAAAATATGAGTGAGAATTTTCAGTTCTGGCTGGGGAATGTAGAGCATGAAGAACTAACAACACTCACAATTTCAGCTGGAAAGTGGCTGAAAATCAACCCTGCGTGGGGAGCAAGTCTAATTGCACCGTGCTGTTCTCTTCCATGTGAAGAATTGCCAACCTGCCGTCTGCTGGCTCCCTTGGGACAGGGCACACCTGCTCAGAGCCCAAGGGGTGTCCCAGGTTCCAGTGAGACCCAGGGAAGAATTTCCCATTTGTCAGGGCTGATCAGCAAGGACCTCTTCCCTGAAAACTCCATAAGAGCCAGACAGATGCTTGTGTGTCTGGACAGCCTCAGAGGGTCCTCTGGAGCCTTGGAAGACTGAATATGATAGTCTGGGAGGGAGGGCTCTGAGGATAGGGAAACAAGAACAGCAGAGAGATAAAGTGGCATTGCAGAAATGGCTTTTATCTATATTTCTAGGAGTGCCAAGTGTCCTGGGGCCTTCAAAGGGAAGTCTTGGTTCCACATGGGTGGACAGAAGAAGCAGTGGTCAAGGGAGCCAGCAGATCAGAGTCCAGCTGGGGTCCGGGGTTAGCAGCCATCACATTCTCTGGCAATGTTGAATGAAGCTCTCTGACTGTTGACTGGGAAGAGGGTGGAATTATAGGTCCAAAGGTTTATGGGAGCCCCTAGTAAGGTCATTTTCAAAGGTCAAAGTCCAGTTACACTGTGTTCCTAGAGCCCAAAGATAGGGAACAAGAACTAATTGAATGGTGAGCAGCCTTGGGTCAAGCATGCAGAATTTGATGGGATTATAAAACCCACCCCCTTGTGCTGAGCCTTTTACCTAAGGCAGGAATCCTCTCTGTAGTGGCCAGCTAGCACTTGCTGAGCGCTCAGCTGGTACCAGGCAGCTCCACCCAGCTCCCAGCATCTCCAACCACTAGGTCTGCATTCAAAGCTAATGAGCCCGCTCCCATCTCTCTCTAACTTCCACCACAGAAGCAGCCAAAGGCCCGTTCCATCTCACATAGGTCCCCTAAACCTTTTCTTCTCCAGTGTAAACTGCCTCGGACTTTTCATTCATTGCTCTGTAGTCATGATTTCTGACTTTTCATCATCCTGACCCTTCTCTTCTGGATGGTTCTACCACTTTCAAAGCTGAGTGTAAGGCTGACCACACCAGGTCCTGCACCCTCCAGATAGGACTGACTTCCAGCAGCCTGTGATATCAGAGCACCTGCCGGCTCAGACGGCACGTCAGCCCCCCAGTCCCTCCCTCCACCACGTCCCTCAAGTGGCCTCCAATACATTTTATTGGTTCATTTGTTTGGGCCACTGCTCTAGTCTGAGAAACTGTTCTAGGCCTGGTATCTTTCAGCCTTTATAATGTTCACGTGTTGTCCACAAGTTCCCCCCAGCTCGAAAACACTTAGAGCAAGTCAGTGTTATTTATATTTTTATTAAAAGCATCACTGTGACTCAAGGACCTGTCCTTTTCTTTCTCAGTCAGGGACAGCTGGACTCCAGCGCCCCGGTATCATTCCCTCCTAAACTTCTCTGCCACCAGCCCAGCCTAGCCCACTGCTTTCTAGTCTGAGCAGCCTTGCCACCTCTGTCCCTGCCCTGCCTCCAGGGGCAAATGCTGCCCCTCGTTGGTCTGTGTGTCCTTAGGGTACAACACAGCCCCTGATACACAGCGGTGCGGGTCTGACTCATCAGCCTTCTCAGACAACTCTTCCTGCTTGAAGACTTAGCTCTTTTCCAAGGCCTCTCCTTCATAACCAACTGACTAATCACTTTACAATTTATCTAGACCAGTGGTTCTCAACCTTCCTAATGCCACGGCCCTTTAATACAGTTCCTGTGGGTCACGACCCATAGGTTGAGAACCGCTGATCTAGACTGTCTCACTCCCTGGATCTACAACCTTCAATGACTCCCTGTGGTCTGCCACCTTGGACCTGGTTACTTCTAACGTGGCCCTCGCTTCTTCACCACCTTCAGCATCTGTGTGTGCAACACGCCTGCCCCCCTCTATCTTGAGAGGGTCTTGCTCTCAGATGTCCATCAACCAAATAAATGTCAGCTAACAACTCCTGTGTTGGCCAACAGGGTTCAATAGGTCTTTGAGACATTTGCTAACAGGGCCCTCTGACCAAACAAAAGCCATACGTTATAATGCACCAATGAGGATAGTTGGTCTTTTGGAGTGAGGGTCCCTGGGCCATCTGTGAGAATGGGGTTAGCTGTGCCCAGGCTTTGGAGAGCAAAGGCCCTCTAGGCTCAGCTCCCTGCCTCTCAGACCCAAAGAAGCCTACAGATCAGCTCCAATTATCCTGATGCCCCAGAGGCCATATCCCTTTTCTGGAAGACTTCTTCCAGCTCCGAGACCCCCAGGAGATGCACTGGCTTGGCCTCAGGTGACATGCACGGAACCAAGGATTCTATTGCTGCTGCATAAATTACTCAGAAGAGCCCCTGGCCGCTGCCATCCCCACCACTAAATAATGTTACAAATGAATGTCTCTGAGCAAGAAGTCTGGTCAAAACAGAGTCTTAATTATAATAAAGTGTCACACTCCGCAACGTTAATAGCAATGAAAACAGCAATTAAGTGTGTGAAGAAGGGCAAGTGTTTTCCCAACAGGCTCAGCAAGACGTTGCTGAGCACATTAGTGACTGAGCTGATGGAAAGGCTCTCCTGGCTTCAGGAGCAAACACAGACAATCCCCATCCTTCTCAGAAACGGGAAGGAGAAAGGTTACGGGTGGGAGAGAGGCGGGCCTTCTGCATTGCCCTGATCAGAGCCCTTGGGAGTTCTCATGAGGAGGGTGCTATATATACCCCTCCCGTCCCTCCTTGATGAGCTGGGAGCCATCCCTGTGAGCCAAGGGAAAGGCTCCTACTAGCTCCTGTCTGATAGTGGGGAGAGGAAGGAGACTAGTGTGACATGGGGGAACAGAGCCAGGCCAGTCTCTGTCAGCTCCAGCAGTACAGATGGACAGAAGCACAAGGGTCATACCTGCAAAATGGGGCCAGGGTCAAGGAAGAAAGTGACCTAGGATCCAAGAACAATGAAGGAATTTTACCCCCAAAGCTGAAGCCATTACCCACAGATGTCTAGTGTCCTAGATAACCGTACTTTGGCATATTGGCAAATTCACTTGCACCAGTTGACATCCATCTGTTTTACAATATTTACAGAAATGTTTTGTACTATGGGTGAACTTCTTGTTAGGGGGTACACTTCTTTTCTTGTTTGGGGTACCAGGAGGCTTTGGAGAGAGAGGGCTGGGAGAAAGAAATCAAGGGGCACTTTTGCTCACAATTCATCCTGCCTCGACCCAGAATAGGCTGAATAAAGCAGTGAGAGCCTTGAGAATGGAGAGCCAAACCTCTTAGGCAGGACGTCACCAAAGGAGAGGATGTCTTCTGAGACCCCTGTGAGGCTTTTCCAGTTTTATTGGCCCAAGATCCCTTCTAAATCCCACAGTGATACGTCCTAGGAATGTTTTTGTCCGGGGACAAAGGACAGTTCTCACACAGGCAAAGTAGCAGTTTGTATCAGTCTTTCAGGAACTTGCCCTCATCCTCGGTGTCCAGGGCTCCTCCCCCCTTACCCTGCTGTAAAATATCCCAGTCCCCTGCCCCAGTACTTCTGGAAAAAGGAAAAAGTCATCTGTACAAGACCAGAGTAGGCAAGTATGTTTTAGCGAGATGAGAGGTGGGTGGGCTGATGAATACTTACATAATGAGCCCACATTTTTAAATTAAAAAATTGGCTTGAACCATATGACTTTGACGTCTTTCTACATTGAAAAAAGGTCAAATTATCAGCAGTTCGATAGGGTTCCATGTACTCTGTTGGCATATATAAATGCAAACGCACAGAAAAGGCACTGGAAAGAACAATCCAAACAGGGGCTCTGTCTGCAGGAGGATGGGTTGGGAGGGGAGTTATGCCTGATCTAACGGGGTGTGCTTGAGTGTTTAATGAGAAGAATGCCTCAGGGATTGGCATGGCGAGGCTGCTGACCAGCTGTCCTTCATCCACACGGTAGAAAGCCTTGGAAAAAAAGGTGTTTAGAGCCTATACAAACAAGGACACTCAGGAAAGGGTCACCGGCCACGTGAGTGCTTGGAGGCAGGAGTGCAATGATGATTACATGACATATTAAGGACAGCTACCTCTGAACACATCAGCTTGCCCAACCTGAGCACACCTGTCTGCCTCCAGGTGTTTCTCCTCCAACGTCCCCCCTGCCCTCCATCCCCAGCCTCCCTCACACCAACAGTGGCCCTGCTCTGGGCCCCCGCCCTCAGCTGTGCCACCATGAAGTCATTCTCTCAGCAGCTCTGCCGAGTGACAGTGCCAGCTTTTGAGTTGTTGCCATGGAGCACCACAGGCTCTGGCCAGGGTGGCCTTGCCTCACAAGACCAAGGGCCCACCCCAGCCTGGCTTTCCAGGGTGGCACAGCTGGGTTCCCGGCATGCCCAGGCCCGACCAGGACGAGTCTCCAGACCTTTATTAAACAGGCATTGGTCACCACTTGCTTTGGATCCACGATATCCACCAGGGGCTCCTTCATGGCAACGTCCCGGATACAGGTCATGTCAAAGCCATAGACATTCTCCCACCCTGTGGGAATAGAGGGAGGCATGAGGGCAGGCAGCAGGGCCCCCCAAAACTCACTCATCCTCCTGCCTAAGAGAGGGAAGGGCAGCTCACATTCCTCTGGCTGAGAAGAGGCTAAGAATTACTCATGTGGGTGGAGAGCTTTGCCATGTGCCAAATTCTCACCCATGTTTTCTATCTGTACCTCTAGAAAAGGCGGATCTCACTTTATGATTAGGGGAACTAGAGCTCAGAGAGGCTGAGAGACTTCTCCACGTTCACACAGCTGGAGAACAGGAGGGCTGGCTAAGGCGAGAAGCCAAACTGTCTGACTTCCCAGCATCTGCCTTCCTGTCCCTTGTCCAAGCCAGAGGGCGCTCCTATGAACACCATCTACGTTCCTCTTTCTATACCTTTGCCCAAGCTGTTCTCCACACCTAGAAGGCTTATCTCTTTCCTTCTCCCATCCCCACCCACTAAACCTTTAATGTGAAACAGACTATGGTTTGAATTCAAGTCTGATAGCCCAACACTGTCCTTAGAGGATGGTGATAATTGCTATCATTGATTAGCCATCTAGCACAGGGCAGACTCTTATTTTATCTACCCGGAAACATTGCTATATTACAGAAGAGAAAACTGTGACTGAGAGAAGTTGGCATCTGCCTCACACACAATATCTGGGCCATTATCACACATCAGGGGAACAGTGTGGGCTCAAGCCCAGCCCAAGCCCCTAACCCCTCACCTGCATTGCCCCAGCTATGACAGCAACCCAGAATGCAATCTTTCTGTCCCCACAGTAGAGAGGATGAACTTTGCAGAAATTTTAGTTACTGGGCAGCTGAATCTCATTTATTTGTTTATTCAGATGGGTTTATAAATACTTTGAAATAGAAATCTTATGGGATTAAATTTTCTTTTAAAGAGTTCGCCAAACCAAAGGTTCCTTAAGGAATTTATATCCCTATGTGTGCACTGAGGACAGCAGATGTGTGAGGAGGGAAGCGTGAATGGTCAGTGAAAGCTGGGCCCCGTTAGCTTAAGTTCTTTCCTAAGGTACACAAAGACCTTCCTTGGAAAAAGAAAGCAAAGAAAATAATCATCTCCCAGAGGATGAGTGCTTGCAAAATTCTGGCTTAAAGATGAGATGGCCATTATATCCCATGAAATCATCTGAAGCTGGTGCTGAACTCCCACTTGAAACCTACACTGGGGAGAGGAAGCTGAAGGGCTGTCTGGGACTGATAGGCTTCAGAGAAGACCCCCTTCTAGAATCTGGAAAGAACTATCCATGCTTTCCATCCTGCTCTGTATATATATATGTGATACTGTATATCTATGTACTCCCCAGTAATATACATGCTAAAACACATTGCCTTCAGTTGAAAACTCTTCATTAAGAGACCTGAAGATATGAACCTACTCTTCTCCACCCCTGGGCCCCACCTTAAGTTCAAGTTCAACACCAGTGTTGGGCAAAAATATGAGAGTCAATGTGTATAACAGTTAAAGACCTGGATTTTGGAGTTCAAATCTGAGCTCTGCCTTTTATTTACTGTGTAATCTTAGGGAAGAATGTAACCTTTTAAGCCTCAGTGTCTGAGAGTTCTTTGAAATGGAGCTGTTGATAATGACGGCTAATCCATAGGGTGGTTATGAGGATTAAGTGTGATAATGTTTGTAAAGAGCACAAGGCAGTGCCTGGCACACAGAAAGCACTTGATACATACTGTGTTTCCCCCAAAATAAGACACTGTCTTATATTTATTTTTTCTCAAGAAGACACACTAGGGCTTATTTTCAGGGGATATCTTCTGCTCCACGCCAAAATGCATGGCGTGGCTATGCAGATACACTGCATAGCCATGCCCATCACTAGGTCTTATTATTGGCATAGGGCTTATATTTAACAAATGCATCGAAATCCTGCTAGGGCTTATTTTGGGGGTAGGTCTTACTTTTAGGGAAACACAGTAGTAGGTGTATCCTTATGAGATTTGAGCTCTGGCTTTGCAGTGGTCCAGGCTATGTGACCACGTGCGGATCGATGCCCTTCTCTGGGCTTATTTGTTAAATGGAGAGTTTGGTTCAGTGGGTCTATGTTCTAGTATCATCTGAGACACTTAAAAATGCAGACTCCTGGGCCCAAGCCAGACATAGGAAGCTGGATTTTTTTTTTTTTTTTT